CGCCGGGCGCCGCCACGAGCGCAAAGGCCGGGTGCCCCTGCCCCGTTTCCGCCGGGACCGCGCGCGCTCCGCAGCCCGGGCGCCAACCGGGGGGCGCTTTTGTGGCACCCAAAAAGCACAAAGTGGCGGTGACCGGAGCCATGTCTGGCCGGCGGAGAGCAGCGTCCGCGAACGCACCAATCAGGGCGCAGCTCCGCCCCTATAAATAGCAGGCAGCTCCTTTGCCTCACTTCAGACTTTACTTTTCGGCTCCGAGCGACTCCACGCGAGCGATCCGCTGCCCCGAGAGCGCCCGCCGGCCGACGCGAGAAAGGAAGGAACGAAGGGAGGGAGAGAGAGACCATGTCCGAGACGGCGCCCGAAGCCCCCGCGGCCGCTGCGCCGGCAGCCAAGGCGCCGGCCAAGAAGGCCAAGAAGCCCGCGGGCGCCGCCAAGCCGCGCAAGGCGTCCGGGCCCAGCGTCACCGAGCTGCTGACCAAGGCGGTGGCCGCCTCGAAGGAGCGCAACGGCGTGTCCCTGGCCGCGCTGAAGAAGGCGCTGGCGGCGGCCGGCTACGACGTGGAGAAGAACAACAGCCGCATCAAGCTGGGGCTGAAGAGCCTGGTGGGCAAGGGCACGCTGGTGCAGACCAAAGGCACGGGCGCCTCGGGCTCCTTCAAGCTCAACAAGAAGCAGCAGGAAGGCAAGGACAAGGTGGTCAAGAAGAAGCCGGCCGTCAAGAGCAAGAAGCCCGCCGCCAAGAAGCCGGCCAGCGCCGCCAAGAAGCCCAAGAAGCCCGCCGCCACGAAGAGCCCCAAGAAGGCTGTCAAGAAGCCGGCCGCGGGCGCCAAGAAGGCGGCGAAGAGCCCCAAGAAGGCCAAGCCGGCCAAGCCCACGAAGGCGGCTAAGAGCCCCGCCAAGGCCAAAACGAAGGCGGCCAAGCCCAAGACGCCCAAGGCGAAGGTGGCCAAGCCCAAGAAGACGGCGGCTAAGAAGAAGTGAAGCAGCTTCTGTGACTTTTAATCCCAAAGGCTCTTTTAAGAGCCACCCACTCTTTCAGTTGAAAAGGGCTGGTTTCCTTCCCGAGGTACACTTCTCCATGACAGTGACACATTAACATTAGGCCTGACATGCAAAGCTCCACAATACAGACTTAACATTAAAAGCTCCCCAATAGTCCTTGCTGCCAGTCCCATGGGCTTACTGTTTTACAAGCGTGAGACCTAGTTTAGAAAGGAGACTAAGTTTAGTCACGTCTGTAGTCTCAACCCTAGGAAGAGACCATGGGAAACCACTGAACGTCGCCAGGGACTTCTTGTCCAGGCAGTTCCCAGGAGTGAAAACACACGAAAAAAATAACGTAAGATAGTAACGACCAGGCTCTTTTGAAATGAAAGAGTAGGTGGCTCTTAAAAGAGCCTTTGGGGTGATAACGAAGTCTCCGAGGTGAAAGTCTTAAGCTCGCTCGCCGCGAATACGGCGAGCCAGCTGGATGTCTTTGGGCATGATGGTGACTCGCTTGGCATGGATGGCGCAGAGGTTAGTATCTTCAAAAAGCCCCACCAAGTAAGCCTCGCTGGCCTCCTGCAGAGCCATCACAGCTGAACTCTGGAAACGCAGGTCGGTCTTGAAATCCTGAGCAATCTCACGCACCAAGCGCTGGAAAGGTAGTTTGCGAATCAACAGCTCTGTGGACTTCTGATAGCGCCGGATCTCCCGGAGAGCCACGGTGCCGGGACGGTAACGGTGAGGTTTTTTCACGCCCCCGGTGGCGGGTGCGCTTTTGCGAGCTGCCTTAGTAGCGAGTTGCTTCCGTGGCGCTTTACCACCAGTGGACTTCCGAGCCGTCTGCTTGGTCCTGGCCATCCTTCAAACAACACGACTTCACTCTCCAAAAGTTCGGATGTATGAATTCGGTGGCCGAACTGGTGGGTATTTATAGGCAGCGTCCCCTCGTCCTATTGGCTGAGAGTGGCAATGATGCTATTAACCTTGTTTGAATATCCCGGCCTCTACCATGATTGGTCAATGGCAGCACAACTCTGATTGGTCTCTTTTCCTCTTGCAGTAGCCAATCGCGGTTCTCTGGCTTAACTGACTACAGGCTTCGGTCTGTCTCCCCATCGTCCGCGTTCCTCGGATGCTAAGAGGAGATGGCGATTCCGTCCATACAGTATACAATATAATGGAAATACTAAATCCAGAGGGTCTTGTAGTCTGCCCAGGATTTTATGAAAACGATGAAATTCCAGCCATTGTGAATTCTCTGTAATGGAAAGATCTGATAACTGCTCCATGGCTTCCTTTTACTTTGTAAATACCCGAAGCAGAGTTCCTCAGTATATCATATGCATTTTTATCTGAACTTCTTTTTGCTAAGGCCATTTTTCTTAGAACATAAACATTTCTTTCCCCCACATAGCCTGCACTCAAAATGGGGAGTGGGTCAAACTAGATCTTTGCTAATTGCAACACTGTCTCTAGGAAATCACAAACTGGGAGACTATACTGTAATATTCCTTTGTTCTCAGGAAACGTCAGCAAAATTTTGTATTGCTCCTGAATATGGCTGCTCTATGGCTGGTTTTGGCCCAAACTTGGAAAGAAGGGATCTTTGTTCCATCTGTAGTTTAAAACTTCACAAGCACAAATTACAACATATTTCCTGTATAAGCGCATGTACGATTTCCCTAGGTTATTTCCTTCCAGATATATTGGATTTCAACTTCCTTATTTCCCTTCCATCTGTAGATTTAGTGATGGAGGTAAAATTCCAAAACATCTGGCTCATCTGCAGTGAACCAGACTGGGGAAAGATGAAAAGTTCAACCTCTGCCTTTTTTGCTATGTGGAGGAAGGATTAGCAATCTGTTTAGCAGATATAATTAGCAGAATGGTCTTAAAGAAGCATGAGGTTATTGCAGTGAGAGTTTTAATGCATTCAACAAATTAACTACTAAATCCTTGTGACAAAAACACTCCAAAGCCTGATTAAAAGAGAATGTGTCCATGAGGGGGGAAAAAAAAAAAATCAGCAACACCTGAGTTATACTTTTATTAAAAGTAAATCTGATCCTGGAATAAAGCATGAACTCTATACCAATCAAATTACAGTAACAGAAAAGCTTAAACATTCTCCAGAACTGGTCAAAATGTGATAGTGAAAAAACATGACCAAAAGTCAATGCCTATATTGTAATTCCCAAAGGAAGAGGATGATTCCATTTGCCTTCTCAGCTCTGGAGCAGAACTGGTCCCATCTGTGACCTTGGTCCATCAACAGAGTTTAAACATTTACCTTTCTCCTGTTTTCATCAGTCATCAATGAAAGCAAAAATCAAGCTATTCAATGCACATAAATTTAACAAAAACAGAAGGAATCCTTTGCAATGTTATTGTTCAGTTTATGAGAACAGTACGGTATTGATTTTTTAAAACATTTTTCAGATTAGACCCACTGAATTAGGACTGCAATTCTTATTCCAGAGCAATTCCCACTGAATTCAACAAAACTTTTGAAAGTAGAACTGCGTTACACTAGTTGGAAATATCCTTTTTCAAAAAGTTACACCATACCTTTGATATAGTGCTTACATCTTGTTTCTTATGCAAATCCACAAGTATTTGTTCTTCAGTTGCTTCAGTTTTATGAATATTTTTCCTGGGTTACTGATGAAGGAGAGCCTGTTTGATGCAGCAGTTAAAGCTCTCAGCTACAAACCACACTATGAGCTGTGCCTTGAACAGCAGGGTGACCTCAGCCCAGTCACTTTCTCTCAAGCCTATTGAGAGGAAGGCAGTAGCAAACCATTTCCAAACATCTTGGTTAAGAAAACTGCAGGGACCATTCTGGACAGTCACTAGCAATCAGTTGAAAGCAAACATACACACAAAGGACTCTGCAGTTAAGGCTTGAGCGTTTTACCAATCAAGTTCTCATGTGACAAAAACAGCATGCACCAGGACTCAGCTCTTTTTCTGACAGAATTGGCGGCCCTGAAAAGGGCCTTTGGGTTTTATATTCTGTAATTCAGCTTTCTAGCCTCCGAAGCCATACAGAGTACGACCTTGGCGCTTCAGAGCATACACAACGTCCATCGCAGTCACGGTCTTTCGCTTTGCATGCTCGGTGTAGGTCACGGCATCCCGAATGACGTTTTCTAGGAAGACCTTCAAGACGCCCCGAGTCTCTTCATAAATCAAGCCAGAAATACGCTTTACTCCCCCACGGCGGGCCAAACGACGAATAGCGGGCTTGGTAATGCCTTGAATGTTATCGCGAAGCACCTTACGGTGCCTCTTAGCGCCCCCTTTTCCGAGCCCTTTCCCACCTTTCCCGCGTCCAGACATGTTTTTCTACAAACGCTAACTGGCTCCCCTGCAACAAAACAAGTGCTGTAAGGCAGCCGAATCGCTCGGTTTATATTGCACAGCGTCCGACCAGAATGAAAACGGTTGGGAGATTTTTTAAAAACTAACCGTATTGTTCCTACGTCCAATGAATGACCAGTGCGGAACTAAACTTCCAATCAGAATACAGCAAATAATATTCAAAGCTATGGGCGATTTTGGCGCTCTTTTTTTTTCTTTTAAAAATTAAATTATGTGGAGCATTTAAATTAGCGACATGCACCGTTGCGAGCCTCCTACAATTTACCTATTGAACATGTATTGTTATAAAATTTAAAATTAATAAAGGGATAACACTTTTTAAAAAATCTACTGGGAATAACGTTTCTAAAACATCTATTGAAATATTTTTGCAGATTGCTTAAGAACGGTATTCCACTGTTACTTTCCAGTTGTTTTGTGAGGCAATTGGAATAATGGAAAGAAAGTGTGACAAAAAGCAAAGAAGGCAGAAAATACACTGTTGATTTTCATTTAATACACCATTCTTATAACTAAGTTGCCTGTACCAATAAATTATTTCTTGGGCTCAGTATTCTTCACCTGTTCAATAATAATAAGAAACTCAGGCTTCAAGCTTACTGTTTTAAGAACTTCGTTTCACATCCAGGCTAACATAGGTGTAAATTTTATTTGCTTAATAGAAAAGGAAAGACACAGTTAAGTCATGGATATCAGTATTCTTGGCAGCAGGATGAATGTGCTTTGCCACTGCCTTTTTCGGAGACATGTTTTCAGCTTCCCAGTCTAGCCTAATTTCCCTAAAATCCTGGGATTTGCTGGTGATCTCCTATCCAAGTCCTTACAAACTCTGGCCCTGCTGAGCTCCTGAGTGTGGGACAGAGCAAAACACACACACACTCTTTCTCTCTCCCCTTCCCACTCCGTGTTTTGCATCATCTGGATGTGATTCCTGAAACTTTACTAGCATTCTGAGATTCACTAAAAGCATAATCCTATGGGAAGCAGTTCAAGCTGCTTAGTTACAAAAAGTCATTTAAAACCTTTTGCCCAAAACAGCCAGGTTTAATTTACCTTATGAACCAAATGAGTTACACAAGATTCTGTGGCTGCTAGGCTAAAATGTGTAATTTTGGCTACTGCTGTTAGGCTAGAATATACAACAGATAGAATATGCAATCCAGGTGGGTTAATTATGAAGAACAGCTCCGTTAACTAAAAGCATACTGTACCAGCTCAGCTAATTATAGTTTATTATACACATATTCTCCTCTATAGATAGTTTATTGGGTAAATCACAGTGAAGCAAATCATGAGTTGACAGGTTAGGTGAATACAGCCTATTAATAAAACCTTTCTTCCACTTTTAAGACAGCAGGTTTTCCACCAAGCTCAAAGATGGGACTCTCTTCAGAATCAAGAACCGCGAGAAAGGACAATTAATCGCACGCTCCTTATTGCATCAACACTTTGCCCAATCGGTGCCATGAATTTAAACTTCTCACGCTGCATTTCCGCGGCATAAGTCCCCGCGTGTTTTACTTTGATGTGTTCCTAATCATATCCTTCCATTTTCCCGCTATTAGCATACAAGTGGGGGGTGAGAGGGGAGACAGGCGAAAATACCGGCTAGAAAATGTGAGAGCAGGTACCTTTAATGGCAGAAACAAGGGGGAACCAGGCTATTGAAAATATGGCATGAAATGAGAACCAGCAGAACAGCCCAGAAAAACGGCGCCAAATCAGTTGAGCCATTCGTGTTTCTCTTGAGACTCGCGGGGCAGGACAGAGGTCTCGCTCACCTTTTTTTTTTTCTTCTCCTTATTAAGATTCCTGAAAACAGGTTGATTTTTAAAGGAGCTGCCTTATTTTCTTAAAGCGCTACAAGGTATGAATGGACAGAACATTGTTATAACAGTTTCAGATTGTGTCAACTTCTTTCAAATAGCTTGTATCAACTATTAAGTTACAATGTTCCTCCAAGGGAGTTTCCCGATCAACCCCAGACTTCTGATTTTTTGTAAGAGAAGAGCCAGTCCATGATGGCAATGTTCCTCCGAGTACTTTACACTTAAATTTACACGCACAAACGAAAACATTTAACATTTAAACTTATATTCACAAGCGAACACAGCTCTTTCCACGAATGTGTGGGTGGCCCTGATAAGGGCCTTTTACATTAGTTATTACAATGAGTTTTACAAGCTTATCCACCAAAACCGTACAGAGTACGACCTTGGCGTTTCAAAGCATACACAACGTCCATCGCAGTCACGGTCTTTCGCTTCGCGTGTTCGGTGTAGGTCACGGCATCCCGAATGACGTTCTCCAAAAAGACCTTCAATACGCCGCGAGTCTCTTCGTAAATCAAGCCTGAAATACGCTTCACGCCTCCGCGGCGAGCCAAACGGCGGATAGCAGGCTTAGTAATACCTTGGATATTATCACGAAGCACTTTACGGTGCCTCTTGGCGCCGCCTTTCCCAAGACCTTTACCTCCTTTCCCGCGACCAGACATGGTAAAAATCAGCAGTACCAATCCGTAACCGAAACAGAATACGACCTAACCACGAGAGCGCGAGAGCAACATTTATATAGCACTTTTTCCGACCTGAGTGAGAACTTCAAGAGGGGGGCGTGCACCGCTTTCGGCCCAACCTCCTTAAGTATATAAATCAAAGGAGGCGGGCTTTTCCATCAATAAATCAATCAGGAACTGGAATGTGACCAATCAGATTTTTCATTTACAAAGGCGCAACTTTTCTTTTTACTCTTACAAAGTACTGTAGCTTCATATACAATTTGGTATATTTTCTTTAAAAAAGGGATACAAAAATATTTTTGAAATTGAATGCACCTCAGAAAATTCTGAGCCATGATTTGCAACAATTGTAACAAAGCCGTTTACCAAGGAAGATTTTAGCAACATTCTAGCAGAAACATTTATTGTCTATTATTTCTTTTTGCTCTCAATACTCGATTTGATTTCGGTGCAAGGGCGCATGCCTTTTTTTTCTTTTAAAAAACAACCTCGCAAAAAAAATCCATTCTTTGTGACATGAAACAGTTCTTCAGTGATGTTTAATACGCATTTCTTCTTCCCTTGACTTAAGGATGCCTCATTTTGTCTCGAGACATGAATAGTCCTCATGTGGAATGATTGATGGCATTTACTTGGATAGCTACACTATTAAAAATGTGTCTCATGATCTGCTCCCAAAATTAGGGTACTCATATCGGCACCAATCACTTTCACACGCCTTCCTACGTTGTAACTAAGTATCGGGGAAAGCAGCATGGCAATTAGGTCATCACTGTGCGCAGTCACCAAACCTGCCCTGATTGGTTGAAAATGAAGTCACCGCCCAATCCCCGTGCAGCCCGGGTTATTTTTTTTTAATAAATCATGGTTCTCAACCAATCAGAAATTTCAGAAATTGCAA